ATACTCTGACCAATACCAACTTGGGGAGGAAAGGGTTTATTCAGCTTACATCTCCCGGGTCACAGTTCATCAAGGAGCCCAAAGTAGGAACTCGGGGCAGGAACCTGGAAACTGAAGTACAGGCCATGGAGGAACGCTGCTTACAGTCTTTCTCCTCTGGCCCCTGCTCAGCCCGCTTTCTTATGCAACACAGGCCCACCTGCCCAGGGGTGGCACCACCCATAGTGGGCTGGGCCCTCCCACATCACTCATCAAGAAGATGCCCTTCAGACATAGCCACAGGCCAGTCCAATAGAGGAAATTCCCTGATTGAGGCTCCCTCAAGCCAGCTGTGTCAAGTTGACACTAAAGCTATCCAGCACAGGTAATTTCTTTTTTAATATTTGGGGAAAATGTGTTGTTTTCTGTTTGTTTGTTTGTTTGTTTATGGGGTGGTGTGCTGCAGCATGCTTGTGGAGGTCAGATAACTTGTGGGAGTCAGTTCTGCCACCATGTGGGTTGCAGGGATTGAATGCAAATTGTCAGACTTGGCCTCAAGTGCCTTTACTCATTGAGCCATCTTGCCAGCCCATTATTTTCTATGTTACATTACAAACTGCCTCTAAGGTTTTTTCCAAGAAAAATAGTTTATTATCTCAACAGTGTGGGAGCCTCTACCTGTAATCAAGTTGTTTGTGATGCTGTGCCACTGTCACAGCCTATAGCAACAGATGGCATTCTGTGACCAGATGGCCAATTAGAGCAAGCTTGTCTGTGTGAGTTTACAAGTAGCTTCAGCCAGGTGTATTCCCAGCTACTAGGCAGGCTGAGGCAGGTAGATCATTTCAGACCAGGATTTCAAGATTAACCTGGGCAATTGTGCTGGATAGCTTTAGTGTCAACTTGACACACCTGGGTTGAGGGAGCCTCAATTGGGGAATTGTCTCCATTGGACTGGCCTGTGGCCATGTCTGTGGGGTATTTTCTTGATTGTTGAGTGATGTGGGAGGGCCCAGCCCACTGTGGGTAGTGCCACCCCTGGGCAGATGGGCCTGTGTTGGATAAGAGAGCAAGCTGAGCAGGGGCCAGGGGAGAAAGACTGTAAGCAGCATTCCTCCATGGCCTGTACTCCAGCTCCTGCTTCCAGGTTCCTGCCCTGAGTTCCTACCTTGGGCTCCCTGGTGAACTGCGACCTGGGAGATGTAAGCTGAATAAACCCTTTCCTCTTCAAGTTGGCATTGGTCAGAGTATTTTGTCACAGCAATGAAGAGACAAACTAAGACAGTAATAAAGCAAGTCCCTATCTCAAAAGAAAAGGGACTGTAGTGATAGCCCAGTCAGTAAAGTGCTTAAGGACCTGAGTTTGATCCCCAGAACCCATGTTAAAAAGGAGATTTTTTTTTTTTTTTTTTTTTTTTTTTTTTTTTTTGAAAAAAAAAAAAAAAAAAGAGGACGATAAATCTTTCACTGTGATATATCAAAATAATCACAAAGTCCCGCCTGCCTCTGCTTCCCAAGTGCTGGGGATTAAAGGCATGTGCCACCATGCCCAGCAGATTTAGTAAAAAAAAAAAACTTATTTTTATGTGTACAAGTGTATTGCCTGCATGTATGTGAGTGCACCTATGTCGTGCAATGCCTCAGAGGCCAGAAGAGGACTTTGGATTCCCCTGGAACTGGAGTTAAGGATGGTTCTAGCCACTGTGTGGGTGCTGGGAATCGAACCCCGGTCCTCTGCAAGAGCAGTCAGTGCTCTAAACCACAGAGCCATCTCTCCAGCCCTAGCAAAAGAAATTTTTAATTAAAAAATAAGGTGGATGGCAACTGAGGAGCTGCACCCAAGGTTGACCTCTTGCCTCCACACAACATGCAGCTACACACAGACAGAAAAGACAAGTACTGATGTCATTCCTAACAAGATTGAACAGAACTAGAAATGGATAAGAAGTCACTCTACAGTTAATGAGGGTAAAAGAGGATCTGGCTGTATTGGGTGAGAAAGCTCCAAGGTACAGCAGCATCTTAAGACTTCCTATGGGAAGGAGGAATGCTAGCATCGGACAGGTAAATTCCTGACAACATTCTAGTGAAAACTCAGGGACAGCAAGGAAGTCCTCCCCCTGTTGGGTAAAAACTTGACTTCTTGGGAGTCAAAGGCAGGCGGATCTCTGGGAGTTTGAGGCCAGCCTGGTCTACATAGTGAGTTTAAGGTCAGGTCAGCTGGGTTACAGGGAGACCCTGTCTCAAAAAGAATTGACTGGCCGGTCCATCTCCGCCGCTGTTCTCTGCTCCTGGTTTGGGCCCTGCGCCATTCCTGGTCTTGGGTCCCCAGACACCTGGGGAACTGGTGCTGCTTCCTGATCCTTTTCACCCAGGCCAGCTTGGTGCCTTCCTTGGGCTCCAGGAGCACTGCTTCTGTGGGACCAGGCCCTGCCCTCACCTCTCTCTGCTTCCCTGATCCTGCAACACCCACCAGCCTCTTTCTGGGGCTGACAGGCTCTTTCTGGGGGCTCGGAGGCTTACTTGCCTCTCCCTGATCTTTTGCACCCAGTACAACCCAGCTACTCAATCCACTACCTGGGAAATCTTGGGGCTTCTTCCCACCCCATCTGCCTTTGCATCCCTGCTGGCATGGCCACAACC